TTCCCTTCTATTAGTACATTCTTCTCTTATTTATTAGTACCCTTCTCTTAACCCCTTCCTCTCCTACTTTCCTGTAAGGTAAGATAGATTTCTGTACCCAATTGAGTGTGTATGTTATTCCCTCTTCGAGCCAATTCAGATGAGAGTAAATTTTAAACAGTCCCTGTCACTTCTCCCTATCTCCCCCTCCACTATAAAAGCTTTTTTGTGCCTTTTTTATATCAGATAATTTATCCCATTCTACCTTTCCCTTTCTTCCCTTTTTCCCAGTGCATCCCTCTTTATCACCCCTTAATTTTATTTTTTTTATATCATCCCATTATATTCAACTCACACCTGTGCTTTCTTTCTATGTATATTCCTTCTAACTGCCCTAATACTGAGAAAGTTCTTGGGAGTTACAAGCATCATCTTCCTATGAAGTAATGTAAACAGTTTTAACTTCATTAAGTCCCTTACTCCTGTTTGCCTTTTCATGTTTTCTTGAGTCTTTATTTGAAAGTCAATTTTTCTATTCAGTTCTGGTCTTTTTATCAAGAATGCTTGAAAGTCCTCAATTTCATTGGTTGTCTTTTTTTTCCCATGAAAGATTATACTCAGTTTTGCTGGGCATGTGATTCTTGGGTTGTAATTCTAGCTCCTTTGACCTCTAGAGTATCATATTCTAAGCCCTCTGATCCTTTAATGGAGAAGTTGCTCAATCTTGTGTTATCCTGACTGTGGCTCCATGATACCTGCATTATTTCTTTATGGTTGCTTGCAATATTTTCTCTGTGACCTGGGCACTCTGGAATTTGACTATAAAATTTCTGGGAGCTTTCATTTTTGGATCTCTTTTGGGAGGTGATCGGTAGATTCTTTCATTTTCTATTTTACCCTCTGCTTCTAGAACATCAGGGCAGTTTTCCTTGATAATTTCTTGAAAGATTATATCTGGGCTTTTTTTTTTGATCATGGCTTTCAGGAAGTCCAATAATTTTGAAACGATCTCTTCTGGATCTGTTTTTCAGTCAGCTCCTTTTCCAAAGAAATATTTCACATTTTCTCCTACTTTTTCATTATTTTCGTTTTGTTTTATTGTTTCTTTATGTCTCATAGAGTCATTAACTTCCATTTGTCTGATTCTAATTTTTAAGGAATTATTTATTCAGTGAGCTTTTGCACCTTATTTTCCATTTGGCCCATTCTGCTTTTTAAGGAGTTCTCTTCAGTAAATTTTTGCATATCTTTTTCCATTTGGCCAATTCTGCTTTTTAAGGCACTCTTTTCCTCATTAGATTTTTGTGCTTCTTTTACCATTTGGTGTATTTTGTTAAGGTGTTATGCTCTTATTTTTTGTGCTTCCTTTATCAAGCTGTTGACTCTTTTTTCATGATTTTCTTGCATCACTCTTATTTCTCTTCCTAATTTTTCCTCTACCTCTCTTGATTCTTAAAATTATTTTTTGAGCTCTTCCATGGCCTGAGACCAATTCGTATTTTACTTTGAGCCTTTGGATGTACGAGCTTTGACTTTGTTCTCCTCTTTTGTGTGTGTTTTGATATTCCTTGTCACCACAGTAACTTTCTATAGCCAGAATTTTTTTCTGTTGTTTACTTATTTTTTCAGCCTTTTTTTTTTTTAACTTTTAACTGTTTGCTAACGTGGGGCTCTGCTTCCAGGGTGGAGGACACACTGTCCCAAGTTTCAGGGGTGTTTTGTGCAGTTGTTTTCAGAGATACCTATAGGGACCTATATGTTTCCAGTTCTTCTAAGGTGGTATGATCTAAGGAGAAGTGTGTTTACTCCTCTCCTGGCCTGTGCTGTGCTCTGTGAGTGACCACAAGCACTCTTGTCTGCCCTGGAACTCTGCTGAGGGTTCCCGCTCCACTGTAGTCATAAACTCTGGTGTGCTAGTGCTCCTCCTTGCTCTGAGACTGCCACCCAGACTAGCAACCCAAATCTGAGTATGGGCAAAGTTAGAGTCCTGCCCCCAGGGCCAGCAAAGGGACCTCTGTAATCTCTTTGATGAGTTGTTCTCTCCCTTACTGTCTGTGGACTGCGAGGTCCAGAATCAGCCCTGGCTGCTGCTGATTGAGTCACTCCCAAGGACTCTTCCTGGTTTACTGGGGCATGATCTGCCATGGGACAGCCTATATTGGGCTGCCCTCCACTCTCCCCCTAGTGGGACAGACTTTTCATGCTGACCTTCTAAGTTGTTCTGGGCTCAGGTCCATTTTGTCTTCTGTGATTTTCACTCTCATTTGGTCAAGAAGTCTTCTTCTATCTATATTTGTGAAACATATCTCTTTCCCTGTTCCTTTAGTTTTATTACCTAGATCGTGTATCAGTTTGGATTATGCTTTGGATCACATATCAATTTGATTTTTATTTTTATATGTGATAGGAACTGTTTTTTTTTAAGCAATTGGGGTTAAGTGACTTGCCCAGGGTCACACAGTTACTAAGTGTCAAGTGTTTGATCTGAGGCTGGATTTGAGCTCAGGTCCTCCTGACTTCAGGACTGGTACTCTATCCACTGAACCACTTAGCTGCCCCAGGAGCTGTTGTTCTTAACAGAATTTTGTCAAACTACTTTCCAGTTTTCCCAGCAGTTTTTGCCCAAGAGTGAGTCCTTACTACAGTAGTTGATTCTTTGGATTTATAAAAAATGATACTATTGTGCTCATTTGCTTCAGCATCATTTGTACCTAAACTGTTCCATTAATCAACTTTTTTATTTTTAAATCGCTACCAAATAGTTTTGATGATTATAGCATAACAGTAGAGTTACAGATCTGGTCCTGTTGGCCCCCTACCTTCCATTTTTTCTATTATTTATCTAGAGATTCTTGATCAATTTTTTCCTTAGATAAATTTTATTCTACTTCTAGTCTAATAAAATAAAATTTTGGTAGTTTGGTTGTTATGGAACTGAATAAGTAAATTACTTTAGGTGGAATTGAAAGTATTATTATATTTGCATAACCAAAATATAAGCAATAACTATTTTTCCAATTATTTAGGTTTCTCTTTATTTCTGTAAACAGTGTTTTGTAGTTGTATTCATGTAATTCTTGTTTGTCTTGATAGGTAGATTCTTGTCCAGCTCATTTTACAGGTGAGGAAACTGAAACAAGCAGTGTTAAGTGACTTTCCCAAGGTCCCACAGCTAGAAGGAATCTTAGATCAGATTTAAACTCAGAAGGATGCATTTTCCTGACTCCAGGCCTGGTACTCTATGCACTATCCTAGCTGCCCCTTTTGTGACATTACTCTCGCCTAAGTCTATTCCTCCTAATGACCATTCCTTCTCAGTCTCCATTGCTCATTTATCATTCTAGTTCTATGGAGAACTATGAGTTGTGAATCTTTCCTTCTTTCTTTGTTTCTTTCTTTCCTTCCTTCCTTCCTAAACATTCCATTAAAATGGAAGGACAATTTCAATTGTAAATCAGAGAAGATCATGAGATTGGCATGCTGGTAGAGTCATTGCTTTCAGCTTCTCTCAAGAACCCACAAATATCAGAAAAAAAAGAATCATGGATCAAATATATTTTATATACTATATCAATGAAAGATGATAAAGCATAAAAAGACAGCTGTGTTACAGAACTTTAAAAACTTCATGAAATGATGTCAGAAAACTTTAATTCTTAGAATTCTCACACTGTACTCCCATCTCCAAACCACTCCACACACTAGGTGTGACGAGTATAAGCAGGTTCTCAGACCTTTGGTTTGGGGACTGGTTGCAGAGCTTTTTGTCCACTCCCCCATGGGCCCATTCCATTAACCCAGAGTGAGAACATACATTGATTCTGTCAAGTTTTGCAAAGGAAGAGGAGAACACCTGGTAAAAAGGGAAGCATCTAAAGAGCAAAAGGAGGAACAAACTAGAAGGGAAAGGGTGACAACTAAGGGGAAAGAGACTCTGGAGATGACATAGAGCAAGGAATTAGGGCTTGCTTTGGGGAATGGGGGCACAGTGAGGAGGGAAGTGGGAAGGAGAGAAGGCTATGAATAACTGGGCAGTAAAGAAGTAGGATCTGTGGATTAAGTAGGAAAAACAAAAGCAGATGACTTTTAATTAAAAAGAAAAGCAAAGAGAAAAAAGTTTGGGAGTACAAAACACCATGAACAACTATTATGTTATGAATATTTCCAATGAAGGAAATGATTGGTATGTTAATGAATGGGCTTGTTTTGCTCGGTTTTTAAAAAAATTTCTCTCTCAATATTTGTTACAAAGGGAAGGTTCAAAGTGTTGGGAAGAGGAGAGGAATATTCTCCAAAATAGATGTGTTCTAGCAGCAAAAGGCATCAATAAAAATTAAAATAAAAACATGTTAGGTATTTTCTATTACCTAAAAAGTGTTACATGGAAAAATAAAGCATGTTTTTAAATGTTCTTTATTTTAAAATACAAATGAACCAGAAAGCAATCAAATTTTGTAGTCATTTACACATGAAAGTGCTCTGAAATTCCATCTATGCTGTCCATTGAAATTGATCCTTACAATTTGTAAACACATATAGAATCTATTTTTAACGGAGAATATCATAAATAGGGTAGTAATAAATAATAATAATAATGAAAATAAACCACATTTAGAGAATGCTTAGAGCTTTCTAAATATATAAATTATATAAATATAATAAATATACTGAAATAAATTAGCCAACTAATACCAAATTCAAGCCATATATTTCATTAATACAAATAATATTGATTCATCTGGTATCAAATATGATAAAAATAAATAATTTGCTTCACATACTCATGAAAAGTTCATGTTTTCATATGTCATTTCCATATGTTCTGCTTTTCTAGGTCTTTGAGATGAAGGCAAAGATTCCAAGGTCTGGAGAAGGCTGTGCTCAACAGTGGTAGAAGGGTGATCTGTCTGTGGCCTGCGAACTGTCTTCTTCAATTGTGTTGTGTTTTATTGTGTTCAGAAAACAAGACCAAAATCCGACGCAAAAATATATCTAGTTTTTCTTTCAATTTTCAAAAGGATAAATGGCTTCACGGCAGTTACATTCCTAATGACAAAATCATAAAATTGACATCAGATATTGGGAAAGTCAGAGGAGCTGGCAATGGGGCTTTGGGATGGAGGCTGTGGAACTACGAAGAAAGGAAACTTCTTACCCCTGAGGTGCATCCAGGCAGAGGAAGTTTCTGCAAATGAGGAGAGATGAGTTAGAGCTGCCTAGAGCAAAAGTCAGGAATGTTTGTTTACTCCATCACAGGCCAAGATCACTGACCACAGAACCCTGGCCCATGTCCTTGACTCCAAAAATAAGATAGCCAGAGTGGGCTTCTCCTCACGCACTGCCATAATCCCTAGCATTTGACAGGGCCTGAGATATCCCCAATTTAGATAATCCCAGGATGCACTTCACTTCCTGGAAACCCATTCTCCCCACCACCCCTCTTCCACATTCCCCAAAGAAATGCTTTCCCCCACTCCCACCCTGCAGCTATGAAAATGAGGCTGAGAAAAACTCTTCTCCCCTGAGTCACCTGGCCTAACCTCTCCCTTCTCACCTCCTGAACCCCATGGACATAGTCACTCTTCATGGAGTGGTAACAAAAGGAAAAGCTATGTAACAGAAGTGAACCATTAGTCATTTCCAGGGGAAAAGTTTTGGAAGTAGCCCCCCTCTAGTGAGCAAAGACAGGAGGAAGGTTACTGTATCTGGTGTCCCTAAGCCAAGGAACCCTGACTTTAGCAGAGAAGATGTGGAGATGGCAGCTCCACTCAAGACTCACCTGGATTTTTCCCAGACTGCCACAAATGGCCTCGCTTGTGTCACTATTTTTGAAGGCTGTTTTTGCAGTATTCATGAAGATTTCCAGGTTTCTCTGATAACACTGGTGAGCCATAAAAAAATAGAAAGTGACCTCTCTGCTCCTATCCTGAGGGCTAGAAGCTTGGATTTTACCATGGCCTTCTTGGGGATAAGGGAGAGGGGAGATAAAGGAGGGTCTTAAAAGGTAGAAACTGGTGTGTTCTGACATGTGAGCTCCTGCACTGGGTAAAGAGTGAAGACAAGCCCCTCTCTGCCACCCTCTAATGGGATCTCTGTCCCATGCTCTCAGCAAAACCCTGTGCTGAATATGATGGACTTCAGCTCTCACCCCAGCTCCTCAGGCTCCCAGTCCATAAGAGAACTCCAATATCCTATGTATTAGGGACCTTTCCTGACTGCTCCTCAAAGGGGATGGCCTTGAATAGCTTTTTTCCCACTGCACTATGCTGTGGTGTGCATATCTGGGCATATCAGAGTTATGTATCTAAAGTGACTACTGTAAGGTCTTTGCCATATAGACTTTAATGGAAAGAGACCAATTATTCCTACAAGGTATAATTGTTGTTATCTGTAAACAGTTTTGGGATTTTAGGGGGAGGGGCAGGATTGGGGAGCAATTGAGACCTGTGATTTTATCCACATAGGTAATTCCCAGTGTGGAAAATGCATCACGAGATCAGCAACTCATCTCCAATTTACAATCTTAGAGAGTTATTTGAGACAATAAGTTTAGATGATTGGCCTATGGGTCATACAGCTGTATGTGTCAGAGACAGGAACCAAGGTCTTCCAGATTCAAAGGCTATGCCTCTACTCATTATGCCACATTGTCTCTTACACACTGATTTTACTCCATGATAAGAAAGTTAAGGGTTATCACGTAAAATATGAATCCATAATCACAGAGGTCCCAGATAATTAATGAAAGGGCAACTGCTGACAAGCATCTCTTACCTTCTTGTCAGTACTAATTGGGATAGATACACAATCCTGTGAATAAGGAAAAAAAATGAGTGAAGTTAGTTTAGACAATTTTCAAGAACAAAATTAGCCAGTGAATTCTAAGTGATGAACCAGATTCAAAACACCTGAAGATTACTTACCTGTCCTTTGTCAAAAGTAAAGTTCAAAATTTCTACACGAAGCTGATTAACTGTCTCATAATGGTTTGGAGGTGGAGTAGGGGAAGTCTCTGTGAGGAGCCAATATGCTGAGGTGCAGAAGAGCAGGAGAACACCACTGGCCTGCATGTCTACCCTTGGAGACTTTACCCTTGGAGACTCTAACTGTCCTTGGGTGGCTGTGAAGCTCTTATATGTGGCTTCAGGGAGGAAAGATACTTATCTACCCACAGTCTTTGAAAAGGGGAGGGAAAGCCCATCGGGGGAGGAAGAAACTGCCTGGCTGATTATCAGATGGAACCCCCACACTGTGACGATCTATAAGTTTGTTCATAATTTTCTCCATATTCGTGATAAGGCAAAAGTCGGAGAAAAAACCATTGGAAAAATTTACCTCCTTTGGGGCCTCTCATAGTATTGGAAACCTCCTGTTGAACATATAGCAAAACTCAGATTCATAGCTGCAAGACCATGGCTGGACTGTCCTCAAAGGAAGCACTTAGTAAAGATGAATAGACTGATTTCACTTCTTCCTTTTGGGATGAGATGAAATACTGTACTTTCTGACCTGCTAAAGAGACTTCTTGATCCCCGCTCCCCAACTCCTTCCCCTATTTTATGCAAGGACTCCTGTCTCTCCTTCCAAGGGAATAGCTCATCAAATGAGGGACATGGATTATTCACCAGGAAAGAGACAAATGAAAAAGACATTTAGACACATCCCTCAGAGGGTCTTCACAGGCTTTTTATACTGCTAAATTCTAATTACAGTATAGCTGTATTAACACATGTTGATTTTCTCCAGGTCACTGGATCATAGAGTCTCAAAGTTGCCATTGACTTCAAGGGGCATCTTGTCCAACCCACACCTCAATAGGAATCCTCTCTACAATATGGGATTGTTCATATTTCAATTGATATAGAAACATGTCAATTCAATTCAACATGCATTTCTTAAGTCCCTTCTGTGCATAAAACATTGTACTAAAATCCAAAGGATATCCAAAGTTCATATAAGTTATAGTCCCTAATATCATGGTGCTCACAATCTGGAAAAAGGTGAGACAAACATAGATAACAATAATAAATAACAGTGCATGATGAATGCATTCATTAGAAAGGAAAACGCAAAGTACTATAGGAGATTCTTGAATGAACATTATTATGAACTGGGTTTGTATTTGTAGTGATGAGACTAATCCAGACTTGTACAATACATGAGCAAAAGCACTAAAGTGGGAAAGTACTGGGGTTGGTATGTTTAGAGAGAAAAGAGTATTCCCATTAGCTTTGCTGGAACATAGAGGAAATCAAGGGGAATAGGATAACATGTGGCAAGAAAGGTAGATTGTGGAGGTTCTTGAATGTGAAGAGAGGGATTTTGAACCTTATTTGAACCTTATCAGTAGATGTATGCGTAAGGAAGATTAATTTGTCAGTTGGGTGAAGAGTAAATTAGAAAGAGGATATAATAGAAATGGAGAGATCTCTTAAGAGGCTATTTCAGTACTCCAGGTAGGTGGTATTGTGGCCCTGTATAAAGGGAGTATCTGTGAGGAAGAAATGGATGTGAGATATTTAGCGATTCAATCAACAGCCCTTAACTGATTTAAAAGAGAAAGAAAAAGTATGGATAACATCAGGGTTAAAATGTAGGAGATGATGGCAGCAGTGAGAGAAAAGCAAAATCAGAAGAAGAGTCAGGTTTCAGTGAAAATATAATGTTTGGCTTGGGACATTTTGAGTTTGAATCAACTCAAGTCAGCAAATATTTATTAAGCACCTACTATACATCAGCCATCGTGCTAAGTGCTAGATATAGAAAGGGAGAAAAGTCCCTATGCTCAAAGAACTCATAGTCTAATGGAGGAGGCAACATGCAAACAATCACGTGCAAGTAAGACTTTACATAGAAAGTTAAGAGATAGAATTCTTGGGTGAGACACAACAAGGAGTCCAGTGTAACTGGATTCTAGCGTACATGAAGAGGAAGAAGGTATAAGAAGAATGGAAAGGTTCGAAGGGGGCAAGCTATGAAGGGCTTTAAAAGCTAAACAGAGGATTTAATATTTGATCCTGAATGTAATAGGGCAGACTTGCACTTTAGGAAGAACACTGATAGCTGAAGGGAGGATGGCCTGGAGTGGAGAGTGGTTTGAGGCAGAGAGACCAACCAGAAGATTATTGTCTAGGTGTAAGGTGATAAACACTGCACCAGCATGGTAGCAGTGTCAGAGGAGATAAGGAAATGTATACCAGAGATGTTGAAAAGGTAGAATTGACAGGATTTGTCAACAGATTGAATATGGTTGGGGAGGCGGTGGAGAATGAGTGATAGAGTATGATGCCTGGCCTGCAAATATGGACAACTGGGAGAATTATGATTCCTTCAGCAGTAATAGGAAATTTGGGAAAAGGGGAGAGTTTGAGGAGTAAGAGTGAATTCAGTTTTAGGCATTTTAATCTTAAGGTGTCTATGAGACACGTCCAATAGGCAGTTGGAGATGTGAGACTTGAGGAAGATCATTATGATAGCTGAGTGGAAGATAGCCCGGAGTAGGGAGTGTTTTGAGTCAGGGAGATTAAGCAGAGGGCTATTGCAATAGTCCAGAGATGAGGAAAGAAAGAAAGAAAGAAAGAAAGAAAGAAAGAAAGAAAGAAAGAAAGAAAGAAAGAAAGAAAGAAAGAAAGAAAGAAAAGAAAGAAAGAAAGAAAGAAAGAAAGAAAGAAAGGAAGGAAGGAAGGAAGGAAGGAAGGAAGGAAGGAAGGAAGGAAGGAAGGAAGGAAGGAAGGAAGAAAGGAAGGAAGGAAGGAAGGAAGGAAGGAAGGAAGGAAGGAAGGAAGGAAGGAAGGAAGGAAGGAAGGAAGGAAGGAAAGTAATGAAGGAAGGAAAGAAGGAAGGGAGGAAGATACAAAGAAACAGAAAAATCTTTGTGTGGAATGAGATAAAGGGGAGTGTGTGGGTTGTGGAAAGGCTATTGTGCTCCAATAAGACCCCAGGTTGTTTTTTTCTGGAAGTGGTTCATGGCTCCATGATTTCCCAAGGAGCAAATAAGACTGGTTCTTATAGACATTACAAACTTTAACCCACAATTTTAATTATTCCTCCATGCTTGCAGGTCCCTTTACTTAAAGCAGGCAGACTTCACAAACCAGGAATGAAAAAACTATTTTTTTTTTTACCAGCAGCATTATCATTACTTTGAAATTACCAAAATTTCATTGTTGCTCATTGGTTCACTTTAATGAACTATTATGTCTATTCTTAATGTAAGATGGAAGAGGGAAGACTGGCTAGCTGTCCAACCCCAGCTTGTTTACCCTTCAGCAAGCTGGCTCATCGGGGATCCAGATTCTAGTCCTCAGCTTTGTGAAGTGTGATCTGAACTTAAATCAGCAACTTAAATTACGGTCTCAGGATGAGGCTCAAGGGAACTGATTCCTGCTGATCCAGATCAAAAGAATGAATGATCAACTGGATGACAATTTAGTTATATGGAGTTCATAGCTCTCCAATGTCCAAATACATAATGTCTGCTATCAGCACTGCTTTGCCCAGAATTGAAAGAAAAAAAGTGGGCAAGACATCAGGAAGTGCCTCAACATGAAAAGGCAACAAAACTCTATGGAGCAACAACAGGAATGATCATACCATATGGTCACTGTAAAAGGGCACTTCCTTTATGTTCAATGTTTCTTAGATAATGTCCTGGAGATGATAGTTTTATAGCTGGAAGGGACATCAGAGACCATCTAATTCAACTCTTCCCTCCCTCCGATTAACAGATGATAAAATTGTTGTTAAAAAAAAAGTGAAATGGCTTGCTGAAGAAATATCATTGAACAAGGTTGATGATTCTATGAACATTCCTTTTTTTTAAATATGGTTTGAATTTTGATTTTTTTTTATCATTTTGAACTTGATGAGCAGCATATATAGGCATCTCCACATCCAAATATGACCATAAAAAGAAGATTGTAAATGAAACCATGAATCTCTGTTTTGGATAATTTGTTCTATTTAAGTATCTAAAAAATTCAACAGTAGTTGAACAACTTGGGACAGTAGTTTCCAAGCTGTCTGGCTTGTCAGTCTTCCTTGAAATTCCTTCTGCTTTCTTCTGTGTGCTTTTCAGATATTTCAATGTTCCTCTTTTCTCTTTCTTCTTTTTGGGGCATCATTATCTACTATTAATCCCTCTCCATCACACTATATCTCCCTTTCCCCTCTCAAAAAAAATTACCTCCCATGTAACAAATAAACATAGTCAAACAGAATAAATTCATAGATTAGTGGTGTCTGAAAACAGATTTGTAATTCTGCAATTATAGTCCATCACCTCTCTCTCAAGAGGAAGAAGCTTGATACATTTTGTATCCTCTAGAGTTCTTATTGCTCGTGACATTAATTCTAGTTCTTAAGTTGCTTAAAAGATTGCAGGCAGTGGTATAAATTGTTCTCTTGATTGTGCTCATTTTGCCATGTATCAGTTCAAACAAGTCTTTTGTGATACCATTGTGTCAAAAGGTACATTCAGTTTAGTGAATTTGGAGGGTACCGTTCCAAATCCTTTCCCGAAGGGTGGAACCACTTTATCGTGACACCAACAGTGCATTAGTATGCTTGAGCTCCCAAATGCTCTACAATGATGGCATCAAATTTAAATAGAAATTGGGCCAGTCAATCATACATAAGTATCCCCGCAGGGTGGACAGTGACTTAGAAAATCATATATTAATATTTTTCCATGATCTATTGTATTCTCATTTTATTCAATATTTCCCAATTACAATTAATCTGGTTTGGCCCAGAGTGTTTGACATTTTTGCTCTCTACAGCAATTGTTTTTCTTTTTTGCTATCTTTGAC